AAAAATGTTCTAAAATGATCATGGTCATGGTTACACAGCTCCATAAATTTATTTAAAAAAAAAAAAAAGAGCTCCACTGGGGTGTCAAAAACCCTTGCCAGAATTCAGCCGGTTCTTAGACTTCGAACCCATCAACTGAAGGAATGACGCCGTCCCCATAAGGAAATACTTTGAATACATTAAGGTAGTGATTGACTCACTTGTTCCTTAAAGGAATCTGATTATTTATTTGAGGTAAATGTCCATGAGGGAAAAGGGGGAAATCTAGATTCTGTGATGGCTCTTGAATACAAAGTCTGAATCAACATTGATACCTGAGGAACTGAAATGCTATAATGTCCACATCAGTGGTCTTCCAACTTTAGTGTACATTGAATAACCAAGAGAGCTTGTTAAAACATAGATTTCTGAGCTCCTTGCCAAAAGAGAGATTCTGGTTCAATGAGATTCTGAATTTCTAAGGAGCTCCCAAGTGATGGAGACAATACAGGTACAGATCACACTTTGGATAGCACTTGTTTACATATCATAATGGAAAACTTACATATAAACCATTCATGGGGCGCCTGGGTGGCTCAGTCGTTAAGCGGCTGCCTTCGGCTCAGGTCATGATCCCAGGGTCCTGGGATCGAGCCCCGCATTAGGCTCCCTCCTCCGCGGAGAGCCTGCTTCTCCCTCTCCCACTCCCCCTGCTTGTGTTCCCTCTCTCACTGTGTCTCTCTCTGTCAAATAAATAAATAAAATCTTTAAAAAACTAAAAAATAAAAAAAATAAACCATTCATGGTCTGAGACAACTATTCTCTTAGGGAAGTTGCCTCCAGGGCATGCTCGTGAATCATAAAATTACATAGACATGAAAATACAACTTTGTATGACAGTTATACCAATGTGCATGGAAATTACTATCTGCACTTCATCAAAAATCATTGTTTCACTCCTTCAATTTGTCTCAATCTTTTCGTTCAATAATTGGAACTCATTTTGTCTTATAGTTAAGAAATATTATCCACTGTTTCCAATGAAATATATGAATAAATACAATGTATTAATATTTTATTAATATGTTATGGTTCATTAGTAAAAGCATATGCTACATGGAAGACAGCTTTTTAAAATGAATCTGAGGCCCACAGAAGAAAATACACTACTATATATAAAATTAATTCATCACTGCCCTATTCTGATGATGATTAAGAAGAAAAACACTCAGGCAAAGTCCTTCAAATACTCAATGAAACTCTAATCTAAAGAAACAACACGGGGCGCCTGGGTGGCTCAGTCCTTGGGTGTCTGCCTTCAGCTCAGGTCATGATCCCAGGGTCCTGGGATAGAGCCCCGCATCGGGCTCCCTGCTCCATGGGAAGCCTGCTTCTCTCTCTCCCACTCACCCTGCTGGTGTTCCCTTTCTCGCTCTGTCTCTGTCAAATAAATAAAATCTTTAAGAAAAAATAAAAATAAAATAAAAATATAAATAAATTAATTAATTAATTAATTAATTAAAAAAAATGAAACAACACACAAACTTTACCTAAAATGTGCAGGAAGATACCTACATCTAGACCTTGCTTTGAATGTTATCAGTGATGAGCTGCCTTTATCCCTTGCCTTCCCTTTTATTGTATAAAGAAACTCCATGTCGATATCATTGGTTAAAATGCAATATTTGCTCCCAAGTATTGCTACTCAGTAGTCAGGAATGTGATGCATGAAGTTGGATCACATCATGGGTAATTGCTGGATTGTTGCTTTTAAAATAACATCTGTGTGTATGTGTACTTTCAGCTGAAATATGTCAGTTCCAATGCCAGAAGCTGATACTATTACGGCACATTTCAGAGGTGTAATAGCTTTCAAAAGAATTTCTTAAAGCATTTTACTTTTATCAGAGGAAAATCTTCAGAGCTTGCACATGAATTCAAGACAAAGCTATGCCTCTCAGTTCCATCTAATTTCTCAACATACTGTTCTTGCTCTTACATTGACATCACTCAGATGACCAGGGGCAAGTATCTCTTCCTCTGCCCTTCTTTATCCCAGATTACCTGCCTCCTCTCTGAAAAACTGTGGAGCTCCAGGTCTTAACAGGATTGTGAAACTGCCATAAATTTCTGTTCAGAAATCTTGTCAAATTTTTCTGATTAAAATTTTGTTTATAAGTGTGTTAGCAAGAATAGAAGTTTTGGGAAAAAAAAATCAGTGCTGAAAAACTTTATGTGAAAGCACGTTTTGGTACAACCCTAATTGGCCAAGGCGGTAAGTGAGTCACTCCCCTTCAGTGCACTTCTGGGTGGCCTCAGGATTCTGGTCTAGACCAGCAGTACTGCTGCCTTAGAGACAGTAGCCAACTCAACCAGACTCTCCCGAGACCCCTAGGACCTTGTTGACTTCCAAGAGCCCCTCATAAGAAGTGAAGGCCCCCAGGGAGAGGCCATATATGGATATTTCCTGTTATTTGAAAGTCTGCTGACACCTCCATAAATTAACCTAGCAAGAATGAAACTCCCTAGCATGATACTGTTCATCCACAGTCCATGTAAGGTAGAAATACATGACTTATCTCTAAAAAGTGCCTATTTTTGCAACCTTTTTAAAAAATTGTCATTTTTTTTAAGCATAGCTAATTGTATTAGAAAAACACAACTCAAATCCTTTTGTGTGAAGAGTATTTCCTGAAGATCCTGGATTATGCCCCAGAATCAAAGAAAGAACAATAGGAATGAGGCCCTCCCTGGGAACAGGGGAGGAACAGTCTAAAATGTCAGCCCTGCTTGCCCCCTTCGTTCGCCTTATTGTACTTAACACTGCATGACAGCACTGCCCTCTAAGTTCTTTCCTGTGGCAGGGGACGTGGTCACATTTTCACAGCTCCTGAACACAGAGGAAAGATACCTGTTGTCTCCCAACTTCTGTTTAGAACTTTCTAGAAAAGGACACCGGCTACCTTGGTCTAGACCCCTTGCTGCCCCCTGGCCAGTTCACTGCAACCACAGTCATTGGCTCCGTCAGGCTGGTGGTCTACCTCTATGGCCAGGGCACTGGGTGTGTGATTGTGTGATTGGCCGCCCTCAGGGAAACTGCAGGATATATCCCTCAAAGGAGCAGGGTGCCCGGAAGGAGCAATAAAACCACAATCATTCTTCCTTCACGATATCTCCCTCTGCCATCTGCTATAGTACAATTATTTCCCCCATTTATTAATGAGAAAATAGAATATAATAGAGATTAAGACACACACATACACAGAGGAGAACTGGAATGGAGTCTCATTTCTGAGGAATAAACATACTTCTCACAGCAATCGATTACTGGTAGAGTTATGTTTCCAGAAATTTGGTTTTTGGAAAAGCTGAGAATTTCAGACTTTTAAATTGATTAATCAAATACCTGTTTTTGGAGAGGTCAGGAAAGATAGGAGAAAACTTCCAGTACATTCTTCAGCAGTCTGGGGACATGTTAGAATGTGACCCAGAAAACAGAAGTTAGAAGGTATTTTCAGTATCTTTAGTTTCTATACACACTGCTGCTCCTTTTTTTGTCTTCTAACACCAGAGAACAGGGACAATTCTGGGGAGTTCAGATCTCTAATAAACGACCAGTGGTTATTTGGAAGTGTCTAATGGTCTAACACCTAAACCTTTAGAATTAGGTATGATACTCAGTTGAATTTTTTTTAGTTAACTGGGTGGCTTAATAGTACAGATTTCTACTGAACCGTCATTATAAACCAGGAAAATATTTCATTTCTGTGTAGTTCTTGCAATCTAAATGAGACCAACTTTTTTTTTATGAGAAAGCAAGAATCCTAATAAGAACTAAAGGCCAAGCTTATTCAAAAACACTTCAGGCTTTAGAAAATTAAATCAAATTAAGTGGATCATCAAACTTTACGTAAAACTGTAAAAGTAAACATTAAAAAGTAAATCCAGATTGACTAGATATAACCCAAGATGAAACCAAATTTTAGGGAGAGGTTTTGACCTGATGTAATTATAGACAGGCACTTTTTTTTTATTATGTTATGTTAATCACCATACATTACATCATTAGTTTTTGATGTAGTGTTCCATGATTCATTGTTTGCGTGTAACAACCAGTGCTCCATTCAGTACGTGCCCTCTTTAATACCCATCACCAGGCTAACCCATCCCCCCACCCCCTCCCCTCTAGAACCCTCAGTTTGTTTCTCAGAGTCCATCATCTCTCATGGTTCGTCTCTGCCTCCAATTTCCCCCCCTTCATTTTACCCCTCCTACTATCTTCTTCTTTTTTTTAACATATAATGTATCTGTTTCAGAGGTACAGGTCTGTGATTCATCAGTCTTACACAATTCACAGCGCTCACCATAGCACATACCCTCCCTGGTCACTTTTTAAAATGCTTAATTTTGTAAATTTACATTCACTTGAGGTTTTGGGAGGGTTGGGGGATTTTTTTCTTTTTTCTTTTTTTTTTTAAGAATAACACTACTGGAGCATCTGTGTGGCTCAGTCAATTAAGAATGGGATTCTTGGTTTCGGTTCAGGTCATGATCTCAGGGTTGTGCGATGGAGCCCCCCTCCCCCCATCGTGCTCCACGCTCATCAGGGAGTCTGCTTGAGATTCTTTCCCCTCCTTCCTCTCCCTTCCCCCTCTCCTCCTCCCCCACTACTGCTCTCTCTTTCTCTCTCTCTCTCTCTCTCAAATAAATAAAATCTTTAAAAAAAAAGAATAATGATACTCTGGCCCAGGGTTCATGCAGATATTTTTCTCTCTAACATAAATTATGATTTGGGGGTTTTACAGATAATACAGAGACTAAACCATGATACATAATTTAGTATTAAATCACATAATCCATAGGAATGTATAGCTGATTTCTCAAAGGAAGGTAATGATACAAAACAACCTATTAAGCAAACTTAAAAGTGTTATTTTGGAAGCCTCAGAATATCCTGGTGGGCTGCCAGGGCAGATACTAAGCATGAGCTTGAGACACTAAATTCTGTCCTTTTATTTTAGAAAGACCAGAAGAAGAAGCAATACGATATAGGAGAAATAACAGCCTAGGAGTCCGGATGTCTGGAATTTAGTGCCTTCTACAACCAAAGAGCCAGGTGACCTTGGATGAGTACAAAACCTCTTTGGGGCTTAGTTATTTCTGTAAGATTAGAAGATTTGATAGATGGCCTCAAAGTCCATTCCACCTCTATAATTCCAGGACTCCATACTTGGAAATGCGTTAGCACACTGCTTAGAGCATCGTAGAGAATTCAAAGGATGTGACTACCTCTCCATTCCTTTTTTCTTTTTCTTTCTTTTTCTCTCAATCCTTTTCATGAACTCAGCCAAAGTCTCAATATGTATTTATTTCTGTATCTTCAGTTCCTAGCACAGAGATGGACAGAAATTGCTGTCTATAAAAAGGGCTGCCTATCTTCAAGAAACTCAATCTAATAGAGCTAACATATAAATAAATTGCATTACTGTGATTCAAGTCCAAAAATAAATTAGTAATTTATATTCCTCACAAAGACAGTACAGCAAAGGGATGGATGAACTGTTCTTTAAGCTAGCCCTGAGAACCTTAATTAAGCAGGGAACATCTCAATATCTGAAACAGATTTTTATAAATGATTAGGAACTAGTCAGGTCAGGCAATACAGGGAACAGAACATTCATGGGAGCCACGACACTGTAGTGTGTTCTGCTCAGGTGCACATATAACAATTCTAATTGCCATGAATTCTCTGACCTTGAAAATTAGATATCCTGGGACCAGTCCTTCTGAGTGATTTTTTTTTTAACAGATAAATGGCTTAATTAGTTTAGAACTGCAACTGAAATATCTCTATAAAACTTAGTATTCCTTGATTATTATAAATACACATATAATATTAAAGATTATATTTTTATATATTATTTAGGGGCTTGCTATTCAGTTCCATTGATCAGTATGCTTATCCTTTCACAAATATTAAACACATTTGACTATCATGGCTTTATAACATATCATGATGTCTTATAGGGTAGTCCTCCCACCTTAATTTTCTTCTTTTTTTTCCTTCAAGAATGCCTTGTCTATTCTTGGATTTCTTTCTCTTTCATATCAAATTTTAGAATCAGCTTGTCAAGTTTCACTAAATAAAACTATTGGAATTTTTATTGGAATTTCATTAATTCTGAAAATTAACTTGAGGAACACAAATCTTTATTATATTGAGCTTTTTATCCATGAAATACAATGTATTTTCATGTATATAGGTATTTTTTAATATCTTTAAATAAAACCTTAAATTGTTTCCATATAGTTTTGTCTATCTTTTGTTAGATTTGTTACTCTGTACCTATCTTTATTGCTGTTATAAATGGTACTTTTAATCCTTTTTATTTCATGTATTACCATGTTAGCTAGGAACCTCCAGTACAAAGTTAAGTGGCTATGTTGATGATAGATAACCTCCTGATTTTAAATGAAATGCTAATACATTTTACCATTAAGAATGATGTTTGCTGCTCATTTTTGATAGAGACTTTTTATCAAAATTAAAATGTACCCCTGTATTCCTATTTTTCTGAGTTTTTATAGTGAATTTGTATTGACTTAATGTCAATCCTTTATTTGCTTTTATTGAAATAAAATTATGTTTTTCCTTTTTAATCTATTAACACAGTGAATTACATTAATGAAGTTTCTAATATAAAACTTTCTCATATATTGGAATAAACCAAATTTTGTCATGATGTGTTCTTTTTTTTTTTTTTTTTAATACTGCATTGGATTTCATTTGCAAATAATTTGTTTAGGATTTTTGTATCTATGTTCATTCCTGATATGGAACTGCAAATCCTTTTCCCACATATGATCTTTTCCAGCTATTTATTGCTACAAAACAAAGTTCTCCCAAACATAGAGGCTTGAAATGACAACAATACTTTTAATATGTCTCCTGATTTTGTGGGTTAGAAATTTGGACAGGGCTTCACTGGGAGAGTTTTAAGTTTCTCTGGCATTGGTTAAGATCACTCAGTGGTGTTCAGCTAGTGAACTAAAGCTGAAGACAAATTCGATCAAATGCCTGGTGCCTTAGTAGGGAAGGCTGGAATGCTAGATTCAGTGGGACTACTCCAGGAAGTCTCATTGCCTCTCCACATGACCTATGTAACAGGGTAGTCACACTCCTTACACAGCAGCTCCCAGCTCTAAGAGACCAAGGTAGTACCTGTCAGTTCCCTTAAAAGTTAGCTCAGGAACTGTCATAGCACCATTCTGTCTTGGTAAAAACAGTCACAAGCAGTAAATATCATAGAGGAGGAGATATAGATATCATCTCTCTATGGAAGGTGTGTCAAAGAATTTGTATACATGTTTAATCTATGTAAAACCTGTTTGTGATTTTGTTACCGAGGTCAAACTAGTCTAATAACATGAGTTCAGAATATTCCCTCTTTTTCTATTCTCAAGAAAAAAAAAATAGTAAGATTGTAATCATCTGCTCCTTAAATGCTTGGTTCAAGTTTCCTCTAAAACCATTTATCCATGTTGTTTTATTTTTTGTGAAAATAATGATCCTAAGACTATTCAGGATTTCTATTTCTTCTTGAGTCAGTTTTGGTAAGTCATTTTTCTAATAAATTATTCATTTTGTCTAAGTTTTCAATATAACGGAAAAAAATTGTTCATTGTATTCTTTTTATCTTTACAGAATCCATAGTTATATTAAATTTTATTAATAATATTATTTATGTGTTGTTTGCTAATCTAGCAAAAATTTGTTGGGTTAATTAATGGTTCAGAAGCTAACATGGTTGGGGCGCTTGGGTGGCTCAGATGGGTAGGTGTCTGCCTTCTGCTCAGGTCGTGATCCCAGGGTCCTGGGATCCAGCCCCGCATTGGGCTCCCTGCTCAGCGGGTAGCCTGCCTCTCCCTCTCCTATTCCCCCTGCTTGTGTTCCCTCTCTCGCTGTCTCTCTCTGTGTCAAATAAATAAATAAAATCTTAAAAAAAAAAGGAAACTAACATGGGTGATCATTTCTATTGCATGTTTGATCCTTTCTCCCTATTTTATGTTCTAATTTTACTATTTTTTCTCTCTAGATTAATTCTGTGTTTTTTACATCTCTCATTCTTATCTATATCTTATTCATGTCTAAGAATTCATTATTTTCTGAATTCAAGCTTTCTGTTGATTATAAGTGTGATGAATATCTTCTCCTAGTCTTTCACCTGCTTTCTCACTCATTTAATGAATGAAAGTTCTTAATTTTAAGGTACTCTAGTATACCAAGCTTTTATTTTATGATTAATATTTTGTATGTGCTACTTAAAAAATCTGTCACTATTCTCAAAGACATGAAGATATTCAATATTCTTTTCAAAGAGGTCTAATATCTATCTGGAGTTGATATTTGCATGTGGTATCAAGTAGGGTAATACTAATGGTATGGATTTCTAGTTGACCCAGAACTGTTTATTGAAAAGATCTTCCTTTTCCCACTGTTCTGTAGTTCCTTCTTTATCATAAGTCAAGTAGACATATACACACTATTCTGTTATGTTGGCCTACTTATCCATCCTTGCACCAGTAACTTAAAAATAAGCTTAATATTACATAGACAATATTCTTTCATATCATTCTTCCTCATTAAGACAGTTGATTATTCTTGGCTCTAGGCTCTTTGCATTGCTATAATTTTTAGAATCAACTTGTTCATTTCTACAAAAAAACAGTCAGGATTTTTTTGGAATTTCACTGAATCTAGTGGCTCATATTGGGGAGAACTGATGTCTTTGAAATATTGATTCAAGCCATGAATATGGTATATTCTTCCATGCCTTTTAAAAATCTCTCTACTTTTTATTTTGTTTCGTTTTTTAAACAGAGATCTTACACAACTTTCATACAAGTAATGTTTTCATATCAGCCTTGTGTGAGAAAAACTCGCTAAAATCATTTATTCATTCTAGTAATTTATTAGCGTTTTTTTTGGATTGTCTAAGCACAAAATTGTATTGTGTATGAATAATGACAAGTTTTCTTTCTTTTCCAATTACAATATTTTTCTTTCTTTTCCTTAATTTCTTGCACTGGGTAGGACCTAGAGTAAAATGTTGACTAAAAGTGATGATAGTTAGTACCCTTATATTGCTCCTATCTCAGAGAAAAAGCTTTTAACATCTTAGCATTGAATATGATATTTGCTATAGTTTGTTTTGTTGGCTTTGTTTATTTTAGAATATCCTATATCAAATTAAGGAAGGTTCATTCTCTTATTTAAATAAAAGTTTTTATCACAGATGACATTAAGTTTCATCAAATAATTTTTCTGAATCTATTGAGATGACCACATTTTCTCATTTATGGTATTAACGTGGACTACACTGATTGATTGATTTTTTTTAGATCAATCAAAAAATTGGTCTAAAGAGAGAAAGGGAGAGAGAGAGAAAGGGGGGGAGGGGGAGAAAGAGAAGGAGAGAGAGAATCTTAAGCAGGCTCCACACTCAGCACAAAGCCTGACGTGGGGCTCCATCTCAAAACCCCTGGAGATCATGACCTGAGCCAAAATCAAGAGTCGAATGCTTAACCAACTAAGCCACCCAGGCACCCCTACACTGATTTATTTTGTAATATTAAAACTACTTTGCACTTGTGGAGTAAGTTGAATGAGGTCAATATTTTATACTTTTTAATATATTGCTTAATTCAGTTTCCTAAGTGAACTTTTAGGACTCACTACTATGAGTCAGTTTAGCCTATAATTTCCATTTTTTAAATATCTTTTTAAAAGTTTTATTATGTGGGGCACCTGGCTGGCTCAGTTGGTGGGGCATGCAACTCTTGATCTTGGGGTTGTGAGT